ATGACCGCGCAATTGTCATTCAAAGTGTGAGAGCGCTGAAACGTGAAAAATGGCCTGGGCAGGAAAGTGTAAAATTGCCCGGTATTGAAATGGTTAATCCAAAATCACCCCCCCTCTAGCTTTCTGGGACATGTCACAGGTCCCAAAAAGCTGCAGGACTTTTCACAAGGCGCATGCGCAGTTGGAAGCTGGCTGTGAAGTTGCTAGAATTCACAGCTACAGATACCATTCGTAAACTTGCTGGTGCCGAGGACCCGAAGACGGGAGAACCAGTTCGGGTGAGGACGGTGCTGGATCCCTGGACAGGCAAGTGTCCTTATATTAAAAGTAAGCAGCTACAGAATTTGTAGCTGCTGACCTTTAAAGTGGTTGTGAACTTCAGACATGAAATATGAACAAAGCATATCCCTCTATAGTGTGTACATGTCGGCTGCCCCTTTTCTCTACTATCTGTATGAGTCGCTTCTGACAAGTTTTCTTAACACTAGGAGAAAAATGGTGACTTTGGAGGGACCTCCAACAGGTTGACAGCTTGAGCTCTGTTCGTGGAAAGGGGGGAGGGGGGGGGTGTCTCTCCCCTCTAATCAGCTCTCCTGAGTTCTACAGTTTAATTTCAGCTCTCCGCCCCCTTTTTCCTGAACAGTCAAACAAGCTTGATAAATTCTGTGATTTGAACAAATGTAGAGAAGAGAAGGCAGGATTTGTTTTATCTCGGTGCATCACCTAAGGCTAGTCACATCACTTGGTACATGTAAGGGTCAACAACCGCTTTAATTTTTTATCTTTTTTCAGGGGAGAAGACACACTGAAGATTCTCTAAGTTAGGTGGACCTTGGAAAAATCTAATTTTATTTGGAACAAAGGTATAGCATGTATACTGCTGAATTAATAAGTGTGCCAGGCTTATTACAATATTGACATTTAAAACAAAGATGTGGTTGTCCTTTAAGAACCAACAACACAGTAAAAAGAGCTGTTTCCTATGTGTCAACGCTAGTTCCCTGTTAGAAATGTCAGCCTGTGTATGTAATTTTACTAAGTGATAAAATGAATTCTAGTGATTCTAAAATAAGTGGTCATAAGTGTCAGAAATGTGGTGTTGAAAATATAAGCATTTCAACACTTGTTCCTAAAAGAGCACTAGCTTTAATGGGGATATAACAGAATTATAAGGTCCCAGCAGCAGAATAACTAAAATATGCATAAGATAGGCCACTTGCCTTCCGTCATTCTCAATAAAGATGACCTAGCTGTAAACAGCCTACATACACATGGAGAAAAGCCTTGAAAATTATTTCAAAACTAAAAGTACTTTACAGTTGTGTATGACAAGTGTACAGATTCAATAGGGCAACAAGCAAAAAGGTGAACATTTTTCAAGCTGTATGCTGGATAAATGTCACAGGCAGCTAAATTGGCAGAAAATGACTAAAATGTAACAAATTTAATATGGACTAAAAAAGTGTGATCAAGTTTAGCAAAATCCACATTTTGATATATCTCAGATGACAACAAAAACGGTATACCAAATATTTGAATTTTATTGGGCTACTCATCTTTCAACACTTACCTTTATTTCCATTTTCCGAGATCAAGAAACCCAAGATTTAAAACACACATACAACATTACTTCTTTACATCATTAATGGAAAGTTCACAAAACATGCCTTCATTCATGATATATTGGTTTTCAATTCAATATTTTAATAGATTCAGAAGATAGAACCTCAAAACAAGAACACATTGCATCTGTCACAACAGCCTTTCAGAATAATTAGTACTGAAGTCTATACATAACACACAAGCGACATGATTAAGTTAGCATGGTTAATTAACACATAAAATACAAAAAGGCACCAAAGGTTCTTAATTGCTAGAATGAACAACGTATCCACAACAGGCGTTGAAATTACAAAAGCTCAAATTACAGTAAATCAAAGCAAAATTAATATTTAGCATACAGATTTAAAGAAAGAAAGCAGCAAAGTGGCTGTAGGGCTTCAGATATCATAAATAAATAATGCAACAATAGCTACTTCTCATCAGTTGTATTGAATAGAAAATAGACTGTTTCCAATAGGATCAGTTCCAACAAGCGTACTGCACTGGGGAAAAGTCTTACATGCTGTATGAACTAGTCAATTAATGGAATTTTTCCCATATAGAACTTAGAAATGCATGCTGTATTGCACTCTGCGGTGCCTTTTGGGAGTGTCACAAAACTGGGTGCCAGTCTTGAAAACCATGAAAGAGAGCAACTATTTTCTAACTTGCGTCACTCATACTACTTCCATAGCAATAACACCACTGGCAGTTACAGACAGTACTGGGATACACTATATGGCCAAAAGCTTGACGACACCAGAGTATCACACCTACTATATAGAAAAACATATGTAGGCATCCTAGCCTAGGTTCACACTAGGCAGCGCATTCCTGTAGCATGCCCATGCGATTCAGTGCAGTGCAGTTGGAGCCCATTCGTTTTGAAAAAACACTAACTGGATCACATTTGGAGCTCCACATTTGCCAGCTCCCTGCCTACTGAGGAAGCCCGAATCTGGAGCGTAACGCATATAGGTGGAAGGAGCTGAGCCCTACAAGTTTTGAACTGATGACCATCTGGGAGAGCGTGGTGGTGAGCCATGTAACAAAATTAAACATTATATGCTGGCTTGCTCTTACATTTTGTAAGTTTTTAATCTGGCCGCAAATAAATTGTTTTATAGAGACCACTATGGTTCCACTTTTCTGTTTTCCAAAATACATATTATAGGACAGGGTCAGCTGGAGGAGTGTATAGTGTGGCGGTGCCGGGAGAGGAGCTGGAGGAAGACTACATAGGGTGTACACAAGTCTGTCCCCATATTGGGCGCATAATGACCCATTGATGAGGTCAAAGTGAGGTGAGCAGGTTTTTCACCTAATGGTGGTGGCGTGGTTGGCACTGAAGAAGAGAGACGATTCATCTTATACACAGTGGTGTTATAAGAGGCTTTTTCATGGGACTTTAATTATTGTTTAATATGTATTTTTATATGAGATATTAGTCTGTTGCGCTACACTTTATTGTTATTCACCTCATACAGTTAGGTCCATATATATTTGGACACAGGCATTATTGTGGTTTTTTTCAGGCATTTACTAAAACATATTCAGGATACAGTTATAATAGATACAGGCTGAAAGTGCACACTCTCAGGTTTATTTGAGGGTATGTACATCCAAATTGGAGGAAGGGTTTAGGAATTACAGCTCTTAAGAGTAGCCATCCCCCCCTTTTTCAAAGGGACCAAAAGTAATTGGACAGTTAAATACAATCATAAATAAAATGTTCCTTTGTAATATTTTGTTGAGAATCCTTTACTGGCAATGACTGCCTGAAGTCTGAAACCCATGGACATTGCCAAAGACTGGGTTTCCTCCTTTCTTATGCTTTTGCCAGGCTCTAACTGCAGCGGTCTTCAGTCGTTCTTTGTTTGTGGGTCTTTCTGCCTTTACTTTTGCATTCAGCAAGTGAAATGCATGCTCAATTGGGTTGAGATCAGGCGATTGATTCGGCCACTGCAAAATATTCCACTTCTTTTCCTTCAAAAGCTCCTGGGTTGCTCTTGCAGTGTGTTTTGGATCAGGGACCTGTCAAATGTACTTGTCAAAGTGTCAACTAAGCTTGCTCTTTCTGCCCACCCCCCTCCATACATAGAAACTGTGCCATTTATTTATTTCAGGTACTTCTATAGCACAATTTACACAGCACTTTACATATATATTGTACAATCACATCAGTGCCTGCCCTAAAGGAGCCTACAATCCAAGGTCCCCAACTCACATTCATACAGAAAAATACTAGGGCCAATTTAGACAGGAGCCAATTAACCTACCAGCAAGTCTTTGGAGTGTGGGAGGAAACTGGAGTACCTGGAGTAAACCCACGCAGGCACAGTGAGAACATGCAAACTCCAGGCAAGCAGTGCTGCGGTTGGCATTTGACCCAACAATCCTAGTGCTGCTAGTCAGAAGTGCCGCTTAGCCACTGTACTACAACACTATAGCTTATATGCATTAAATCTTTGAATTAAGGATGGGCGGATGAATGAAATGTCTGTCTATTCCATTCATAGCTTTTAATTCATAGATGCTATAGAACAGCTTCTAAGTATGGAGGAGGTAGGTGTATAGAGCAGATACAGGTGACACTTTTGAGGCGTGCACTTGACAGGTCCCTCTATTCTAACAAACCCCGCAGCACTAGAAAATTACCACTGTGGAGGTAATGTCCCATGTGTGGATATTAAAGAAAAAAAAAACCCAACAACTGACTAAAAACTTGGGTGTTAAATAACTTCCCAACACTAAGAGTGTTCCCAAGTTCTGAACAACAGTCTCATACTGGTCATACATATATCAGTCATATGATAAAACAATTGTTTCAATGAAAAAAAATTACATCCTTCATAAATTGTTTGCACCAAGCATGCAGCACAGCCTATGATTGCTTTCAATCAAAAGGAAATTTAAGACCTGGTTGAATGTCTTTTCGAATTTGCATGCTCGTTTAAGTGATGGTCAACAAACTTACTCGCCAGGCTTTTGTATCTGAAATTTTGCATTTAAATTCACCCATTACAATCTAATGACAAAATGAAAATGTCTGCCATGAGAATGTAAATGGAAGAAAAAGAATTTGTTGTGGTTTTCATGGGAGATGGAGATGGTTTATGCATCTCCCTTGTAATCTAACCAAAATTAAAAGACAAGTCTTGGTGTGGACGAACACTTAGACATATGATCTTTTCTCAAACTCCATTCAAGTTAGCGATCAGCAAAAGAAGGCAGACAGGGGTTAGTGGGGGTTAATTAGAACCTTTACGTTTATCCTGTCTTTTCAAGAATTGGAGGAAAAACAACAGCACAATGGACAGACTGCCGTCAGGGGACTGATTGTTATATTTGCTATTAGAATTATTTTGGTTTTGGTTACAAAAACGCATTAGCTCTACCTTGTCGTGTGTTCCTCTTTGCTCAAGCTAAGTGCAAGCTGAAGCTGCAATTCGTCTTCGGACGCAGCAGGGGGCTGGGAAAGAAAAACAAAATAAAAGCACAAGACACACCAGCATGGTGGGAAAAGAACCACAAAAAAAAAAATATAACACATGGAGGGAAGGGGAAAATATAGGCAAATAAGGACAGATGAGTTAAAACATCATAAACTGCCATATATACCTCAGCTTCAGATCTTCTAACTTTAAGAGACATTGGACACATCTAAACAAAAAAAATACTGTAAATTATGTATGGCAGAATTGAAATGTTCAATTGGTCATTTGAAATTTTATGAGGGGAAAACTAGATTGAATTCTTTAAATAATGCCAACCTTCCATAGTACTTTATTTCATTATTTCAATTGGTTGCCAACATGTGGTAAGCTAGAGAGAACAAAAAGCCATAAAAGCCTACTAACCTATCAATTGTTAAACAATCTAGGCAGAATTTGAAAGGCTGAAGCTGGGAATACTGTGGCCATAAAACCAAAAGAAGAACAAAACACAACAGTTAAATGTAAATAAAGATAGGTAAACCAAACCTCAGCAAAAAAAAAAAATGGTACATGCTGGTAACAAGAAGTAAGGGGTAGAAGAACAAAAGTTTATGAAACTGGAGAAGGGAAAAGTAGGGACTTTCTTCTGGTCCAAAAAGGAACTGTAACCGTCATCTTACTGTAACTGGAATTAAAGATGAATTCCAGTCCTACCTTTGGTCTTGCCCAGTTGTAAAGGGATCTGCTCCTGAACTGAAATTGCTCTGGTTTTACTGCACACTGAGCTTCTCACCATTCTGCAAGTCTGATACAGCCCACCTCATTTCCTGTCTGGAGGATGTCCCATCATCACCTAACCCTTTGCTCCCCAGCTTTACTGTCCCTTCATTCATTCTATTTCAGTTCATGGAGGATCAGCATCACAAATGGGCATTTCCTAGGGTGTATGAAAATAACTCCTGCTCAGGAACACCCACTTCTCAAGACTGACACCCACCCATCACCACACTTTTATATTTGCATACCCCCTCCCAAGAACCAGCCCACTGCTTGCATCAGGGCAGAGGGCTTTTAAGAAATGTACTGAGGCAGGGTTTTATGATCTTTTCTGGAAGCTATGCACAGTCACCAACATCACTGGATCTAAAATAAGGTATATAATGAAAATGGGAGGATTTGATTAAAAATATGTATTACCATGTTAATGAATAGGGGAGGTAGGTACCAGAGAAGTCAAAATATAAGCAGTTTAAACTTCAGCTTTAATCACTGCAGATACTGAGGTCTACAGCGAAGTGGACAGATAATTTGAGCACAGTAAATCATCTGCAGAAAACCTTTTAGGTGTACAGGAGAAATTCAAGTTTAATAAACGTAATGATGAAAAATAAAAACCTGAAAAGAGATCCTGAAAAAGCAAACAAACATTTTTCATAATTTCAACAAGTAGGAAACATCACTGTACACAATTAGAAAGCATGTCTGAAAAACTGTAAAAATGTTAGCTCATTCCACAAGCCAAAATAATCAAAGTTCTACATCTTAATGATCAAACCTACTTAATTCCACATGCGTGACCAGGAGGTTACGATCCCTAAGAATGACTTAAAAGGGGTAAGCAGGGTAAAGGAGGACCACAATGGGTCAAATATAAAGCTGGCTATACACGGATTGATATTGGATTTTTTTTTTCAGCAGCAAGCTGAAAAAACAAGATCAAGTGTGTGGACAGCTTTAGTTTCAATTTAAAATGGTAACCAGTAATCTCACTACTTTAATTAGAAACTAACACCAGGACTGACAACAGCTGGCTTCTTAGAGTCTTGTACTTCTGACGGGAGAATTACCTGTAAGAGTTCCTGGATCTGTCCTGACCATTATTTTAGTATTTAAAAGCCACACAGGATAAAACCAAAAGAAACCCAGGTTTTATACATCAAGGGTAATACATACGTATATATTAGAATGCATGGAATGGACTGAACAGAGTTGAAGCTGAATTTTAGGCAGATGTATAAACAGAAATTAATGTAGGATTATATTCAATTTTTTTTTATATTTAAGCCCTGGTTCACACCAGTATGGCTTTGAAGTCGCATGTCTTCAGCAATGGCAACAGTCCATAACCTGAATTTCTCCCAGCATTTGGAAGTTCAACATGACTGATGTACATTGAAGCACTCCAAAATTGGAGCCTAATCACAACATTTTGGAGACACTGATGCCTATAACCTAGGCTGATCCCAGTAAAATAGTACCGTCAAAATTGTTGCAGAAACTAGGTCATAAGGTAACTATAAAGAAAAACAGTTCTTACAGACCCAAAAGGAACCCGCTCAGTCATTATCTGAATAGCACCAGCACAAAGATCACAGCGTAGGGATTTAGCATACATGTACCGTTTTGCAGGCTCTGCTCCCCAGTACCACTTAGTACCCTAGCAGATCAGTTATATAAATGCAACTTTCTGAGAATCGCTATTTGCATAAACAGAGCCTCCCACTTGGCAATGTCTGACCTACTGAAAGGCTTTTATGCATGATGCATTTATTCGTGGGGTGGAGAATGTCTAACTTCAACACTGCACTGCTGGAAGTAGTGCTGGAGGTACAGGGCCTGCAACTGAAGATATGTGCCAAGAAACATACGGTGCCAGCTTTGTATTAGTGTCCACATGTATGCGGTAAAGCTCACAAACACTATAAGAATCAAGTACATTTTAATGGATTACATAACAAAAACATAAAATATGTTCACTTATGGTTGCAGTTTGTGTTAAATATCATAATCAACATAATATGGGAAAAAAACATCACATCTTTTGAAAACAATATAACTTTATTATGGGCAAGATAATGGTATAACAATAAAATAAAGTTTTTGAGAAATTATTTTGTAGGTCCGGTGTGAATTTACCTTTGCTCTTACCTGCTCCGCTTCTTCCTTACTCATGGCCAGAGCTAACTGCAGCTGCAGTTCTTCCTCCCCACTGCTCTGAGGCCATGCCTGCTCTGCTTCTGTTGCTGGGTTCATTGTTGATGCAGAAGATGCTGGAAACATGCAATAAAAAGGAAAATAAAATAGAAAAAAAACACAAAATAAGGAAACTAAAATTGACTTTACCTGTAACCAAAATTACACATTATAAGCAGACAGTAACAGTAGACTTTATCTTAAGGGTATAAAGCCTCAATATTGCATCCTATGAGCCCAGGGTGTCAATGACATGGCATCAAGCTGCCCTGGGCTCACAGACTGATGCAGAGGACAGCACCAACATGACACTGCATGGTGTTCTCTGCAATATTAAGGATCGCCTCCTGATGCTGCAGGAAGAAGAGGAAGAGACCCAGCATGTCACTAGACCAGGAGGTAGATAGCTGTTGAGATGTTCTATCCTTCTGCAGGCAGCAGTACAACGGCAAACAAAATCTGTAGGCTAGCCCAAGATAACCCATCCTGTTCCAAGTGTGTCTCTTGACTGTCTTCATGCTCCTGTGACTGCTTGCTACAAACAGATGGGTAAGGACCTGTGTTCCTCAATGTACTCTAAGAAAATAACTTCACGGGTAATACAAAAATCCTTTTTTCCCCTTCATTCATTGAGGGATGCAGTAAGTCAGGGGTGGGCAATTGTGGCCCTCCAGCTGTTGTAGAACTACAAGTCCCATGAGGCATTGCAAAACTGAGTTATTTATTATAGATACTTATATAGCGCTGTCAATTTACGCAGCGCTTCACATATATATTGCGCATTCACATCAGTCCCTAACCCTCAAGGGGCGTACAATCTAAGGTTACAAGCATGACTCCCAAAGGCAGAGACATGATGGGACTTTTAGTTCCCCAACAGCTGGAGGGCCACAGTTGCCCACCCCTGCAGTAAGTCATTAGATGTCAGGATGTCCAAAAACAGACCAACTGTGGGGTAGTCAAAAAACAAAGGACTGCTAACAGGCCCAAAGTGAACCAAAACAAGGACTGCCTGCAGCTCAAGAGCTACCTGAAGGGCCAGCTCACAAATTTGATGCAGGATGAGGCTGAACCCCCCACCTTGAGGGCAGTCTAACAACAAGACTGGGAGGAGAAGATGGAGAATGGAGTGTGATGCCCAATTACAAAAAAAAGATGGTTGCAAAAACAGAGAAGAATGACTCCGAGCTGTCATAGGAGGAGGGGGCACCGAACCCATAGGCCAAAAGCATGAAGATGGTCAACCTGATTTTGCCAGAAGGAAGAAACAATCAACCAACCTATTTCCCCACAGGGAGAAACCCAGAATCTGCAGTTAGCCAACAAGGAGCGGGAAAAATGTAAAAAAAAAAAAAAAAAAAAAAAAAAAAAAAAGCACCAGACTGCAGAACCTAGACACAATGTCTGCGTAAAAGCCAGTATATGCAGGAAGGCTCTAAGCCTCAACTAAAATGATCACATAATATTCAAGGAAGATAGGAAAGCTGTCAGAACAGGCAACTACCTTGCAAAGGTAATACTTTCCATGGAAAAACCCAATGAGCAACCTGGGTCAACAGAACCTTTAGAGAGTGCAACAGCTGCTTTGGAGTTAACCTAAGAAACCCAGGATTTGATCCCACAAAGTCAGCATGACCATAGGGGAAAGGTACATGACATGAAAAGCATCCTAACCAGGGCAAGCAGGGCATGGGGGCTAGATTCCCTTACATGAATCTTGCCCCTCTGGAGAAGGACAGGGATGTGGACTGTAATGGAGAGGGTAATCAGCTGAAGAGAATGCCAGAGGCAATCGACTAGCTAGTAAACCTAAAAGAGCACTCTCTGTACCTGGATGACTGAAGAAAAAACTTCCCAAGAGCATGGATTAACATCTCTCTACTTATTAAAGTGAGGGTACACTGTCATTCAAGACTTATTCAGGTTTAGAAAGTTTCCAGCTGACAGCCTTGAGGGTGGTTGAAGAATGGAGGTTTTGGTCATGCCTACCCCAGAAGTATATGAAGGAAAGGGATGGGAATCAGCAGACCTTTCAATAGAACTCTCATGTTGAGGCAGGTGAATGCTCCACCCTACACTGTCATCTTTGATAATAAATGTCAAGGGTAGGTCTGACAAGTTGTCATCTCTGCAAGACCAAGAGAGTCAGGTGCTCCTGGGATACAGCTTCTAACACTCGGTACTTTAACCAGACTGCTCTATGCATATGTATGGACAACAGACCCATACAACACCCAAGCTTAGATGTTCCAGCAGCTATCACAGCTGAAGCGTAGGAGTCCAGACATTTGATCCACCACACACTTCATAAGTGATACATCACTGCAGCTGAGAGACCTCTTCAAAGAGATTTAACCCAATTTGACAGATTAGGGTCACAGCCAGCATATGGCTAGGGGTACAGCCCACCAGTGAGGGTTTTAAGGAATAATTCTAACTGATGGTCAGTATAATCCTTGTAAGAATATACCCTCTACTGGCCAGTAAGTAGGTTCCATATTTTCCATGGCCTCCAGCAGAAATGAATTAAGGTTGGTCCGGTATACAGACAAGGTCTGTTTATGATCTCTATTAAAATAAAAAAAAAAAAGAAGAAGAAAAAAAAAAAAAAGCTATTGTAAGATAATTAAATTTTACTCTTAAACAGGTTAAAAAAAAGTGCCAATCATTGCATAGCAACAAATATACTGAGATTAGATTAAAAAGGCTGAAGGTCTTTTCACAGGGTGAGGCACAGCATAATGGGAATTACTCATTACTGCTTATGTTCTACAATAAACCGTGAAAACCTGAAGGTATGTACAATGCCAGCTTGTTTAAACTAATGGGGGGAGATCATAAACCCTAAATGACAGGAAAAGAGATGGTGCTGGCAATAGCTCCCACCTTTTAGATGATCTCTGCTTTCATTTTTGAACCTACCCTAGAGAAAACTTATTGGTCACCATGAAAAACACAAAATGCATTTACTTATTTTTGATAAACCAGGCCCAGAGGCAAAATAATACCAGAACGCAGGGCTAAACCAAAACAGCTCATGTGATATTAAAACACACATGTAGTATTCTGGAATATTTGCTTTCCAGGAATTGGAATTTTTCTAGTTTAACGCTCTGGGCAGTCGACTAGCAAGGATGAAATATTAGTGGGCATCAGAATCAGTTATCAACCTAATACCCTCTGCGACATCACCCAGTATGAGCTTGCCGAGAGCCTGCTACAGATGTCAGGAAAGAGAAATGCTTTTAAGCAAACCTGTCAAACTCTGGCAATTCGAATGAAGAGGAAAAAAAAAAGCAGATGTTATCTTCTGTGAAAACTGCATAGTTCAGCTGCCTATACCTCTAATATCCTACCCTTCACCAATTTATTTTTATTGTATGCTAATTTTAACCTATTTTTCTTTTCTTTTTTTTTTTTTTTTTTTTTTTAAGTTCTGCATTGGAAAGAGAATGGTTACAACCCTAGTATATTGGCCATTTCCTTCACTCACAGAAATTTCCTACAACTTTGCCTCCATGAAAACACTGCCAGAAGTAAACAAGAAATTGGGTAAATCACCCCCATTAGGACCAAACAGCAAAAAAAAAATAAAAAAAATTGGCAGTGGATTTAAAGTGGCCCTCTCCTTTGCCAATGCAGGGCAGTAGAAAAGGGTCACTTGGCACTCAGTGTAGCAGCATGTATTCATGTGCAGCTCTTTTCAGCCACCAGGAATGAGGTCCATAGCCCTAGTCCAAGCTTTGACAAGTCAGATGGAGCTTAACAGTGCTCTTGTTTTCAGCTCATGGCAGCAGAAAAGCTCAGTACAAGAGCAAAAAAGTTCAGTATCTGCTGGTGGGGAGAAGGGGGAGTAGTTAAAGTGGTATTAACGATTCCAATTTTTTTTTTTTTAAATGAAATAAATGTATTTATCTGCTCTGTGCAATGGTTTGGTACAGAGCAGCCCCAATCCTCCTCTTCTGGGGGCCTCCGCCAGCACTCTCGACTCGTCTGTGTGCCACCATAGGAAGTCACTTCCTATGGTAGCACACATTCAGGCTCGCTCCCATTGACGCAGACAGCAGGGCTCAACTCCACCCCCCCCACTACCTTGTCATAAGATTTGATTGACAGGATCAGGAGCCAATGGATCCCGCTGCTATCAACCGGACCCTTTTCAAAACTGCACTCAAAATACAATGTGTGTGGATCGCATCTGTGTGAACCACCTCAATAGGAACAAATAATATCTAGCCTGTCACGTGAATCTATGAGTTTTCAAAACAAATCCAAAATCGCATAAACGTGTGAACCAGGGATACTCCATTCACACCTGGGCATTTTGGGATCCCAAAACGCAGGTTCAGGTGCCATTATTTTCAATGGTGTCTAAAACGTGCTGCAGTCTTGCCGAATCGCGTGTCAAATCGCATCGCGTGAAGTCCCGGGGGCTGACAACCCACTACACTACACTTAAAAAAAAACAAAACACTGGCTTCTAACTTTTTCAGCTGGCTCCTAGATTCAAAGCAAATTTGTCAAGCCCTGGATTACAATATTACCAAGTCTTAGGAGTCCAGGCAGAGTAGCGAAACTGCTATTAATCCTCCTGACCCCCTAAAATAGAGCCTTCCACTGAGAAAGCTTTGAAATTAAGTAATTTGCTTTTGAATTTTGCATTAAAATCCAGAAAAAAAAAAAAACAAAAACAAAAAAAAAAAAACCATGCCATTATCCAGATTTAAACTTTCAAAATCAACAATAAAAAAGGGTAGAACAATGAGATGCATATTATTCCTCTTATTTAATATAAATAATATATATTTAATTTAAATGGTTACTAGTTATAAAGGCCCTCTACAAGGCCCAAAAATAATTAAAACTGCAGAACCGCACCCCAGGTATGGGATCACTGGTGGAATTCTAATTTGAAAGGCCCAAAATAGTGAGTATATTATGCCTGCAGATACCAATCAATAATAAACTTTGATAGGGGTTTTGACATAAAGGGAAAGAAGGGTTTATTTTATCAGCTGATGTATGGACTACGAGCCAAGACTAAAGCTGGCGATATAAAGCTTGATTTTCAGCTGAATGATGCTGAATCAGCCAAAATTCAAGCTGTGGGCTGCCCTGTTGGCATTACCGGGCTCAACAAACTAACTGAAAAATCAAAAGGAGCCTGGTGAAAAACCATCAGCTGAACAGCGACTGCATTCAAACAGATGCAGTCAACGTTCAGGTATTCAGTCGCAGATGCTGTGGAATGTCTGAATACAACAGTCGGAAGGGAAGATCCCTGTTTAGAATGGGTGATCCATATAGCCTGGGGGGCTGAAGAAGTGAATTCTACAAGTGTACAGCTAGCACTATTCTGATTTTCATGATCTGAATGCCATTTCCAAATCAACTTCTCAGAAATTTTGCCAGGGCTCTCAACAGTCATACAAATCTCACAAGTAATTTATGCCAAGTGTCCATACAGTACAAGGCTCCTGCCATCATACGTACATGTTGAGGTTTGTGCTAGCTTCTCCTTGGTCTTCAAGGCATGTGCCCTTTCTTCCTTTAGCCTTTCATCATCCTTTAACAAAGCCACTAACTGCTTGGCTTTCTCTCGAACATTCACACCTTGATCCTTCCCATCTCTATCCACATATTGGAAATCTTTCAGGGTCTGAATAGCATATATGTTTTCTTTACACTGCTGTGCAACCCGTTCAGAACCTGTCTTTATTAAGTACTCCATTAGCGTCATAGCCTGTAATTGAAAAAGCAATACATTGGAATTAAACCTGGAGAAAATGGATGTAATTGTCACTTAAACAAGTATGAAAGGGCTCATGCACATGGGCATCAAGGCTCATATAGGGTGTATATGTGTCCAGAACTTCAGTAAAAACATCCCCATGACTTATAGTTGCTGAGTAAAGCCGAACATTGAGAACAATAAAAGATGCAGTTGTGTGCAGGTATGTGCTGGTGGCATTTGCATAAAGCACATGTACCGACATACACCCCAAAAACAGCTTAAAAATAGGTTAGGGGGCTGGTGAGCTTTTATTCCAAAGTAAACTGGTATTTACGATTTCAAAACATACATTGAAGAAATAGATGGGCAAAGCAGAAAACAAAAAGGAGCAAATTGGAAGGTCTAATTGGTGTAATTAAATTCCATTATAAATTAAATACAAAAAAAAAAAAAAAAAAAAAAAAAAAAGGTTGCAGGCCACAAATTCCAGATGACAGTAAGTAATGAAGATCAGGCTAGGTTCACACTAGAGCGCGGTGCTAGAAACTGGCGATCTGTGCACATTTCCCACACAGGGTTTCAAGCGCTCTACAGTTGCAATCTGCAGCAATGTAAATGTTAAAGTGTTACTAAACCCACAACAGTAAAATCAGTCTGTATATGTAGGAAAGCATGCTTGTTATATTCACTGTCCTGTCTTCTCTGATCCTCCCCTTCTTCTAATGTCCCCAATCCATATGCTGATGGTACAGAGCTCTAGGAGTCACTATGCACATGTTCAGTTTAGTGTATATGGGCTAGAGAGTTTTGTTTTTGTTTTCCTATGGTGCATGTGATCAGCACAAGTCCAATCAGCACTGTCCAGACAGAGGGTCAGGGGTTATGCAGCCTCCAAGGACAGTCAGAGGAGAATGCAAACTCCTCCTATAAGCTTTAACCAGTGCTCAGCTGGACACCAATAGAAGTTGCAAGACTGCTTTATACTGCTGATAAGAAAAAGGTATTTAGTCATTTAGATTTACTAAAATAATGCATTTCCATGTTGTGTGTACTGTAGGAGACCAGATATAGTGAATGCAGGCTCCTGGGTTTAGTAACATTTTAGGTTAACACTCCAAACACAGGCCACAAACAATGTGTTTGCCTGCACTGGATCACGTGGTACTAAAGTACCATGTGACCCAGTTGCAGTGTGTTTCCAAAATTAGTGCATACACTACCTTTCATGCGATCTGCACGCATTCAGAATGAATGGGCCCAAATTGCATCACACTGAATTGCATGTGAATAGAACAGGAATGTGCAGCTCATTCCAGTGCGCTTCATAGTGTGAACTGAGCACATTTCAGTGATCCCTGCTCACCATATTTGAGGATTGCCTTTTTATCAGTTCTCTTTTGAGATGTACTTTAACACTAAAAAAGAAAAGAAAAACTCGTTCTTACTTTATACACATGTCTCCAGTTTTTCCCGTGGTCATTAAGCCGCTTCCATATCATGCTCATAATTTCAGAGAATGCCACAACATTGTAGGTGAGATCTGCAATCTCAGACATGAGAGAGCTAGATGGACCCCATGGATCGTTCGATGTAGCTTCCCTCACTTTGATTTCAGCTTCAGAATAATTGTGGACTATATTTTTCATCTGTCGGCGCAGCGAGGAGGTAGACATGTTGGTTGTTTTTATGACAGGAGGCAGTAAGGAAAGATGACTGGAATACTTAATATATATATGTATTATAGTTTAAAGAGCAAAAATTCCTTCAAATTCTGAAGATTGTCAACAGCAGAACCCAAGTAAAATGCCTTTGATAGTGGAAAGAAGACTCTCAGGACATCCAAGGTTTACTCCACGTCCTCTTTCAGGTGGGCTAAGATGTCCTGATATGCTCTCCAGCAGCATGCAATCCTGGCATTGTGAATGCACTAGAGATGCATCTGAAAAACATAAAATGGTGATCCGTAAGCAATCTACACATGTACAGATAAAATGAAAACAACATGTTTATCTACACACTGTAAAAGACTGACTGTTCCAGCAAGACATTTTCCTTACACATTAGCACTTCTTTCACCACAAGTAACCCACACACGGCCCTGAATCACTCAGACACCATTTTCTGAATCATCTCAATACCACTGAAAACTGATAAATGGAACATGAATATTATTTAGCTGTTCAGAAGAATAAGGGTTGAACAGCTTATAGAAACCTTAATTAAATTAAGGACTTTCCCTTCACATATCCTGGAGTTATATAGCACGCCATAGATACAATATTTTGAATTTGTAGTAAAACAAAAATCAGGAAAAAAAGAAAAAAAAAAAAAAAAACACACACACTCTATAAGTAATGAACACAAAGCAAGAGTGTACACTTTCTGTATTCACATGTATAGTATATGTAGAAAATTTTACGACCATCCCACCTACCATGTCCATTCAACATGGCTGCCAGTTCAGATTGGTACTTTTCTGTTCTCTGAATGCACCAAGCCTCTCAGTTGCCATAGACAATCTCTGCCCTTGCAGACAGTTTCAGGGGTAGTGGGAGACCATCAGAATGTGTACGGGTGATCATTTTGGCTGCAACTGGCCCCAAGGGCTGGGTCACACCAGAATAAGTCCAGTGCATTTTGTTTTCTACATAAAAAAAAAAAAAACATGGACAGTAGGTCATATGGGTTCCAATGGCATAGCACACACCAGTGTGGTCAGTTCCAGTGTAAAAAATAAATAAAAAAGGATTATGCAGCACTGGAAATGCAACAAAAAAAACGAAAAAAAAAAACAAAAAAAAATACACCACACACGCAGGAAACCTTGGGAAAAAAATAAGCAAGAGGGGCAAAAATGCACTGGAACATATTGAAATGGCATCAAAAACTTTCCATAGGATTATGTGCAATAAACACATTTTAGGTATTTTATTAACCTGTAATTGCCTCCCTTGTATAAGCATTCAAAAGCACGGAGACTGTTGCTGGGCACTACAATGGTGACTGCAGTGCAATACATTTGAGTATGGGCACTACAATCTTGAATGTGATGTCAGCAGCCCGAGTAAACACAGTTTATAACATACATCTTTACTCCTTGCCCGTCTGCTACACAAAAACGTTATGTAGGGATGGGAGGGGCAGAGGAGCTGGACCAGCAAGTAGACACTCCCAGAAGAGGGCTATGACATTGCAGGAGGCGGATGTGCTAGGGAATAATAAGTGGTCGATCGAGTGATTATTCTAAAGATCTATCTTTCCCCCCGTCTCCATTCATAGAACCTGTACTATATAATCTCCATGCATGAAATATGACTTCTGAATGGAAGGAGCTGACCTTTCATTCATCTGCCACTTGATCACATTACACATGTATAGTATATCTAAAATTATTATTTTTTTTTTTTTCTTTATCCTGCTTGTTCTTGCAAAATTGTGCAAGGTGCAGGAAATGAGACCCCTCAACATCATAAGCCTAACCAAGAGTTGGATTCCAGTGTCTCCGTGACACTCATGCATTTCTCTTTTTTTGCGCCTGGGCAGTAAACATAATATGCAATACACTTCTGCAAAACACTTTAACGTTTTGCTTTTTAAAAACCCTTTTAAACTGTCAGAAATCCAGTGTGCTGCAACTCAAGGTAAAGCACACCAGCAGTGGGTCAATGCAATGACAAGCAAAGACGTATTGTTTACAATAGGCCTAGTTCATAAATAAACGCACTTCATTAGTGTGAAGCAAAACAAAAAAAATGGAACATTCTGCATTTCATCACTTAAAAAAAAAAAAAAAAAAAGAAAAAAAAAAAAAAAAAAAAACACATTTACATGGTGTTTAAAGTATTTTGCCTCTAATGTCAGTCATCCCCAGTCCTCTTCTACAGACTAATGCCCCGTACACACCATAAAAAAATCATATGAAAAATTTCACAGAACCACTGATTGAACGATTTTCTCTTCGTTGAAAAGCAAGATGTTTTAACCGATAAAGATATTGTGAATGAAAAAATCCGGTTGAACAACAGTGAAAAATGTTGTCGTTTCACATACGAACGACCGATTTTCTATGCGGTGGTATGACGGTTGTAAGGAAAAAAAATCTATCAAGCACTATCACGCATGAGCGGAAACAGACGATGACCCGGATGTTTATGTCCAAGGAATCTTCATAAACACAAACAAAAAATCCAAATGTTAAAAGTAGATTGCCTAATGAGATAATGAAACCATGATTCTTCATATTATATTTTATGTATCTAGGTAATGTAATAAACTATATTCTACTCATTGCTGTTTATTGTTGTGTATATCGCTCGTTCTGGCCGGAAGGGCGTGGCTACAAGGTCACATGCACACTGCATCACTTCTACTTGTACAGAAGACATCAACACTACGTATTGCCCGACGAACAATTTTTTTTTTTACATTGGTTAATGTGGGCCACGATTTTGACCAACGAATGAACGAACGCCTCTTGGTCATCAGATGACCGATCGGTTGATTTTCGAATTGTGTATTCCCACCTTAAAGAACATCTCAACTTCTCCTTTCCATAACATATGGGAAAGGCGTTCTTTATTCTAAATGGAGAACTGGACAGGACTGATCATGCTTGAAATTTTAGTGCAGCAGAGTACTAGTGCAAAAGGTTAGGAGCTCACTGGCCAATCATCAGATACAGTTCTGTACTTGCACCATTTTTAAGGGGATTTAAAAAAAAAAAAAAAATATGGGAAAAGGAGTATTGAATGCAAGAAAGTACTGAATATAAATTGTATTAATTTTGCTCAAAAATAGACTTTAAATATCTAGACTGTACTATCAAAACTACTATTTTGCAGGCAGCCATCAGGAATTACCAGTCGATCTGGTTTGTCACACTGTAGTGTAAGCATTCACTTTCATTTGTAGTCTGACATATTTAATAGAAAACAGAACAGAACCAGCTAAAACCCTAATACTAGTAGTGTGTACACATTACCCTTTGTATTAATTGCAGCTTAAAATACCAATAAAACTTTGCGGTGGATTCAGATTGAATAGAGCAGAAACAGATTCTGTAAACCATCCAGGTTATTGGTTCATACTGAAAAGGAGACATCCAGCCAATAACTTTCCTGTAATGTCTAATATTGTGGTTGTATCCTAACATTTCATTTCTGAAGCTGGGAGATTCTGCTAATATACAGTGCAAAAAAAGTATTTAGTCAGCCACCAATTGTGCAAGTTCTTCCACTTAAATAGATGAGAGAGGCCTGTAATTGGCATCATAGGTAGACCTCAACTATGAGAGAGACAAAATGAGAAAAAAATCCAGACAATCACATTGGCTGATTTGGAAAGAATTTATTTGCAAATTATGGTGGAAAATAAGTATTTGGTCACCTACAAACAAGCAAGATTTCTGGCTCTCACAGACCTGTACATTCTTCTTTAAGAGGCTCCTCTGTCCTGCACTCATTACCTGTATCAATGGCACCTGTTTGAACTTGTTATCAGTATAAAAGACACCTGTCCACAACCTCAAACAGTCACACTCCAAACTCCACTATGGGGAAGACCAAAGAGCAGTCGAAGGACACCAGAAACAAAATTGTAGACCTGCACCAGGCTGGGAAGACTTAATCTGCAATAGGCAAGCAGCTTGGTGTGAACAAATCAACTGTGGGAGCAATAATTAGAAAATGGAAAACATACAAGACCACTGCTAATCTCCCTCGATCTGGGGCTCCACGCAAGATCTCACCCCGTGGGGTCAAAATGATCACAAGAACGGTAAGCAAAAATCCCAGGACCACACGGGGGGACCTAGTGAATGACCTGCAGAGAGCTGGGACCAACGTAACAAAGGCTACCATCAGTAACACACTACGCCGCCAGGGACTCAGATCCTGCAGTGCCAGACGTGTTCCCATGCTTAAGCCAGTACATGTCTGGGCCCGTCTGAAGTTTGCTAGAGAGCATTTGGATGATCCAGAAGAGGATTGGGAGAATGTCATATGGTCAGATGAAATCAAAATAGAACTGTTTGGTAGAAACACAACTCGTCGTGTTTGGAGGAGAGAGAATGCTGAGTTGCATCCAAAGAACACCATACCTACTGTGAAGCATGGGGGTGGCAACATCATGCTTTGGGGCTGTTTCTCCGCAAAGGGACCAGGACGACTGATCCATGTACAGGACAGAATGAATGGGGCCATGTATTGTGAGATTTTGAGTGCAAACCTCCTTCCATCAGCAAGGGCATTGAAGATGAAATGTGGCTGGGTCTTCCAACATGACAATGATCCCAAACATACCGCCCGGGCAACGAAGGAGTGGCTTTGTAAGAAGCATTACAAGGTCCTGGAGTGGGCTAGCCAGTCTCCAGATCTCAACCCCATAAAAAACCTTTGGAGGGAGTTGAAAGTCCGTGTTGCCCAGCGACAGCCCCAAAACATCACTGCTCTAGAGGAGATCTGCATGGAGGAATGGGCCAACATACCAGCAACAGTGTGTGCCAACCTTGTGAAGATTACAGGAAACATTTGACCTCTGTCATTGCCAACAAAAGATATATAACAAACTATTGAGATGAACTTTTGATATTGACCAAATACTTATTTTCCACCATAATTTGTAAATAAATTCTTTCCAAATCAGCCAATGTGATTGTCTGGATTTTTTTTCTAAT